TGCCCTTTAGACTAATCATTGCCTCGCAGCCTTTATAGACTTAATTAATAGAGTTTTTTTCCATGTACTGCATCAATACATCATCGTCTTCATCGATGACATCCTAGTGTACTCAAAGAGCCAGAAGAGCATGCCAATCACCTAACCCATGTCATGATCACCTTTCATGAGCACCACCTCTATGCCAAGTTTAGTAAGTGTTTATTTTGGTCGAACTAAGTGTATTTTGTTGGCCATGAGATTTCTAGTACTGGAGTTTCTGTTGACCCCTCTAAAGTCGCGGTAGTTGTGACTTGGAACCAACCAACCAACCAATATCGCCAAGATTTGCAGCTTCTTGGGTCTGGCTAACTATTATTGATGTTTTATTAAAGGCTATTCTAAGATTGCAGTCCCTTTGACTTGTCTCACTAAGAAGGGAGTATTATTCTATTAGGATGAGGAATGTTAAGAGTCTTTTATGGAATTGAAGTGTTGACTCTGCACTGCTTTAATGTTGATCCTCCTCGATAACACAGGAAGATTTCATGTATTCTGTGATGTCTCTCATGTTGGTTTGGGTTGTGTGCTTATGCAACATGGACGGGTAGTCGCATATGGTTCCAAATAGCTCAAAATCTACAAACACAATTACCCCACTCATGATCTTGAGTTAGCGGCCATTGTGCATGCCTTGAAGATTTGGCATCATTACCTCCATGGCCAAACCTTCAAGATCTACATCGACCACAAAAGTCTCAAGTATCTGTTCTCCCAAAGAGAATTAAACATGAGGCAAAGGCACTAGATTGATTTGTTAAAGGATTATGACTGTAGGATCCTTTATTAACCTAGTAAAGGTAATGTAGTTGTTAATGCCCTAAGTTGGAAGGAATTAACTATGTTAGCTCAGATGATGATATCCAGTTGGAAGTTAATAAACTCCATGCAATCTCTTCATTTAAATCACTATGGTAATGGTGCTTACCTTGCCAAGATTGAGCCCTACCAGATCTTTTCATGAAGATTTAGGAAGCTTAGCCTATTAATCCCGAGCTCGCATAAAACCTTAGCAAGTTCACCTCAGATGATTTCTCTAATTATAGGATGTCCGATGATGGCCTATATCGATTCCAAAATCGTGTTTGGGTTCCTCCTATTGTCAGGGATGATGTTCTTCAGGCAGCTCATGCATTTAAGTTGTCTATCCATTTAGGAAGCACCAAAATATACCGTGATTTGAAGCGTTAGTACTAGTGGTCATGAATAAAGAGGGACATTATGAATTATGCCTCTCGGTGCCTCACCTATCAGAGGGTTAAGGTTGAACATTAGAGACTCGATGGGTTGTTGCATAACCTTCCTATTCTAGAATGGAAGCGGGAGCACGTGACTATGGACTTCATCATTTGTATACTAAGGACCACTAATAGTTACGATGTAATTTGGGTCATTGTGAACAAATTAACCGAAACAATCCACTTGTTTTACCATCAAAATCACTGATCCTGTAAATAAGTTAGCTCGTTTATATGTTGATCAAATTGTTTGACTTCATGGTGTACCCTCCTCTATTATGTTAGATAGAGAACTTCGATTTTTTTCCCCTTTTGGGACAGTTTCAGGAGGCCCTAAGCACTAACTTGCATTTTAAAACTGCCTATCATCCACAGACCAACAGATAGTCAGAATGCACCATTCAGACACTGGAAGATATGTTGCGTACCTATATTTTGAATTTTGGAAGTAATTGGAGTAAGTACCTCCCTCTTTGCGAGTTTTCCTACAATAATCGTTACAACTCCAGCATCTGTATGGCTCCATTCGAGGCTCTTTATGGTAGGCTATGTCGATCACCTACCTACTGGAATGAGATTGGGAACAGATAGTATACAGGGACGAACTTCATCTAAAAGACTATTGACAATGTGGATCTTATCCGGAAGAACCTCCTCACAACTCAAATTCGCCAAAAGGTTATGCTGACAATCGCATGAGGTCTTTGGAGTTCACTGTTGGAGACCAGGT